TTTTTTTTTTTGTTGGGTGTGTGTTTTTCAATGCAAAAATGCATCATAACTTTTCTTTCTTTCTTTTTTTTCTTTTTTTCTTTTTAAGAGGTTTTTGCTACAGGGTGCGTGCACTCATCAGAGAGACAGAGAGAGAGAGAGACAGAAAGCAAGAAATCATCTCCCTGGGGGGATGGCCATGCCGCAATCCCTTCTCCTCCATTCTCCTCTCGGGATCTTGGGCACGTATGCACATGCACCCGGCGTGAGTTTAAGCCACTGGGTCTGGGACTCGAACTGCTGTCGACTACATGGGAGTCCACGACATAGGCATTACGCTAATTGCTGGTCCCTAAAATCTTAACTTATATAAAATGCTAGTTTATTTTAATCTTGCTTGTTTTCCCCAATCAATAATGACTTCTCTGTTCACACAGTCCTCTGAATGGTACTTTTATTTTTTAATATTCTACTTTTTAATTGAGTTATAGTGAATTTGACTCAACCACTAGAAGTTCATTTTTGAAGAGAAGAACATTTTTAACTCAATTTTAATTTTTGTCATGTACCATACAGTCTGTGATTTGCAGATGGTAGGCAGTCAGCATGTTTTTTTGTTGTGTTTAAATGTAATGATAAAATATTAGAATGAGTCAATACAACCAAAGCTGTATTTGTAAGGTCAAAGAAGTTTATTAGAAAATAAACATACCACAAGACCTAAGATCTATAAGATGGGAAGAGGAGAGTTACTTCCATTACAAGGATTTGAAAACAGCCCAAGTCTTAATAGCTGAGCCTGAATCTGAATTCACAGACTGGTTAATTCTGGGTTTAGGGGCTCAAAGAAGGAGGGTTGTTAGGTGGAGAAATGGGAGTATGACTTTTTCAGAAGGTTGATTGCTTGGTCCAGACAGTCAGTTCATTGCTCAGCAGCTGCAGGGGCAGGTGGGGCAGGTCCTGCAGGTCATGCGGCAGGGGGCAGGCTGGCAGCAGGGGGGCCGGCAGCAGGGGGACTGCACAGTGATGGGCTGGCAGCAGGTGGAGGCCCAGCAGCAGGGGCGGCAGACCACAGCAGTGCAGGACGTGGGGCAGCAGGCGATGGGGCGGCAGCAGCCTTCCTGCAGGCCACAGGGATCACAGCAGATGGGGCGGCGGCAGGGCTGGCAGATGGGGCGCGTGCAGCGGGGCACGCAGGTCACGGGGCGGCACACGGTGGTCTGGCAGGCCACGGGGCGGCAGCAGCAGGGGTCCG